TGAGAAGAACCAGTTTTAGGATTACAAATATGTGAGTTATAATTCAAGGTAGTATTGATTTATATATAATTGAGAGCCATTATAAATTTAAATAAATTAGATTTATTTTTTTTCATTAAAAAGTTAAAAAAATTATCTATTTAAAAATATTTTTTATTTTTATTTTTATTTTTTACTAAATAAAAATCTAATAAATAAACTATGACTAGTTTTGTAGTATGTAATTGCTTGATTGTACTTATTCCACTTGTTTTGTGTTGTACTTGTTTTGTTCTTATTTTTGCTACTTCCTTTTTATACTACTAATTACAAACAAGTCTTAATTGAGGCCATCTTGTAATTTGGATTGAAGAATAAAATTTATCTTTGCACCAAAAGATGAATAAGTGAAGTTCAATAGCAAGATAAGAAAATGCATCTTTATTTGATATGACATCAATAGCAAGGTTTGATGAGACTATGATTCTAAAAAAATGAATAATCATCAATAGAGATTTTATTTTTAACAAAATAAGAGTTAATTATCAATATCTTAATATCAATAATAATAAGAATTTTAAAGATTTATTTTTTTCACTACTAAGAAATTTATAAGAACAATTGTAATGGCTCTCAAGGTGGTAAAATTCAATTTTACCAAGGTCTTGAAATCTTCTATAAAAATTCTAAAAAAATTGTAAAAAATAATATAATAATTTTATAATAATAATATATATTCAAAATTATATTTTTATATCTTGATAATATTTTACAATAATAAAATAAATTTATATCCATTAAAAATTCTATTTTTTATATAATTAACAAAAAAGACATGAAGTTCTCTTTTATGCTTTTTTTAACAAGTAACTAATATTTATAGTTTTTTTTATAAGTGATACATATAGATATAAGGCCAATATAAATATTAATCTTTAATACTCAATAATGAATAAAAATACTAAACCAACTAAGATAATTACTTCTAAGACTTATTGAGACTCTATTTCTACAACTAACATTTTAATTTTCTATTTGTCTAAGGATTTTTACACTACTCACCATATATTATGATTTTAAGATCTCTAAATACATCTTTTTGTTCTAAAATAATTAATGAGTTGATTTGATGACTCACATATGGCACATGCAAATAAGCAATACAATCAAATATCTTTAGGTATTGTAATTTTGGTTTCTTCTTATAATATAATTCTATTGGTATCTTTCTATTATTGAATTCACTTGGACACAAGTTTACTAAGTAGTTTGATGTATTAATAGCTTTAGGCTATAGGCTCAAATATAATTTATTTTCATGAATCATACTTTTGGCTTTTTCTACTATTCTTCTATTGCACCTATTAGCAATACCATTTTGCTAAGAAATCAGAGCTTATATTATTTGTCTTGTTATTTTGCATTTTTTAAAAAAATATTGAAATTCTTTAAATAAGAATTATCTATTTTTTTTATTCTAAGCATGAGCAATTTCTTAGTTGTTTTTTTTTTTCTTCAACTTGAGCTTTGAATATGTAAAACTTAGAGAATGTTTCTTTTTTGGACTTAAGAAAGTAAATCCAACTTTGGTAAGAAAAATTATTTTTAAATACTACCAAGTACTTGGTCTTGCTTAGAGATGGTTTTTAAATTTATCCAACTATATCTACATGCACAAGTTGAAGTAGATTTTTTGATCTATTAAGACTTTATTTTAAAACCCTCTTTCTATACTCATAACCTGCATTGCAAATTTTAAAATTTTCTTTAGGTATAATTTTAATAATAGATAAGTTTTTTATTTTTTTATTTATATAAATTTTTCTTAAAATAAAAAATAAGGTATCTAAATATATCATATTATATTTTAATCTTTTTTATAATTGATAAATTAACTTCAGTTGTAAATTGGTTTATACAATACATGTTATTCCTTGATTCTTGCAACTTATTGATAATCATGATATGTTCTCTTTTTTTTTTTTTATCAATAATTCAAAATTCATCCATCAAAAAAATTACTAAATTTCTTTTTTCTATAAAGAAACCAATTGATAACAAATTTTCTTTAAAGAAGGTAAAAATAAAATATTGATTACCTTATTTGATTTTCCATTTTCAATTTTTATGTTTATTTTCCTTTATTCAAATGTAATATGAAGTTCACCACCTTTTGCTCTTATTTTTTAAAATAGACTTACAAGTTTGAAATAGCTTAATGCTAAATTGTTGCTTGTTACATATTGAAAGGCTCTACTACAAAGATTCTAATTGAAATTATTTTTTTCTTTTTCTAATGGTTTTAGTTAGATTGATATTTACTTCTTGAAAATCATCCTCTTATTTAAAGTTGGATGAATTGTTTGTTTCAATAATACATGCCCTTGGCTTATTAATATTTGATAGTAGCTTTTTAAACCTGCAATCTTTTGTTATGTGTTTTGGCTTCCCACAAATATAATGATAAATCAAGCATATATTTCTATTAGCATGAAGTGTTTTTGTAATATCTCGACCCCTCAAGAAAAGACGTCTTCTTCTGTAAGATGAGTAACTTCCTTTGCTTCTTGTAATTCTAGTATTATACTTTGTTCTTGAAGCTTGAACTACTAATGTTTTATTTTTAGAATTGGCATTAGTATTAGCTCTTAATTATAATCTGTTTGTTTAGTTATTAGTCTAAATAAAATCTTTTCAAAACTTAAAAATTTATCAATGGATGTTGAATTATATGTCAAAGTATCAAAAGAAAGAAGCAATTTATTTAAAATTGTTTGTACAAGAGTCTTGGCTAGAATTTTCTCACTAAATACAACCAATTGGTTTTTGATTTTGCAAGTTGTCTTCAAAAATTCTTCCATGGAGGTAAAATTTTAAAACTTCAAAGTTAATATATAATAGTTGAGATTCAATACCAGAGCAAGATCTCTACTTTTGTACCTGACTTTCAATGTTTTCTATATATTTGTTAGATTGTCTTATTTTGTCACCATGTCTAATAGATAGTCCTTCACAACATATATAAGTTTTTTTTTTTTTTTTTTTTTTTTTTTTTGTCTTTGCCATCATATTACAAATTTGAGTTTCTCACAATGTATGCCCATTGTATAAACATGGATATATTGCTGGTATAAATTTCTCAATAGTGAGCTCCTCTAGGTTTTTTGCTTACAAAAAGATCTTCATCCTCAACCTCCAAACATATGAATTTTCTTCACCAATCAATTTCTTGGCCTTCTCAACCTACAAGAGATTATTGGAGCTCAACATTATCAATGTCTTTATTATGCTCTCTTCGCAAATAGAATGCTCATCATGATATACTTATTTTTATTCCTTAACAATGCAACTCTTCTAGATTTTCTAAGCCTTGCTTTGATATTATGTAGGATTTTCATAACCAAAAATTTCTTTATTTTCTTTATAGAATTCAATTCATACAATTTAAACATGAGTTGTTCAAATAATTTAACTCAATCTTTTATTCTATATTTTGTTCAAATTATACTTCTACTTCTGATCATGATTGGTGTATATCCTGACCACATTGAAAACTAGCAGGTATGAAGTTTGTCCTTATATCACCATAGTATCAGCTTAATATCAACTTGGTATCAACCTTGTATCACCATGGTATCAGCCTTGTATCAAGAAAGAAACCCTAGGTGCCCTTTTTTCCAATATTGCATGCTTTAAATGGTGAGGTATGTTGTATTATTCTGTAAAATTGTGTAATTTTTACATAGTGAAGTAAAGCTTAATATTGTTTAAATCAATGGAAAAAGATTTGATGCGTTTTTTTATTTGATTATTAAGCATGACCAATACATTGCACTTGATGTAGAAAAGGATTTGGTTGAGTATATATTTATTTATAGACATTAAAACCTCTTCTAATTATTATTTTTGTATTAGCATCCATCATGAAAATTTAGACATTTTTATAACTAAAATTTGGATTATCAACTTCACAATACTGATTGCCATTTTTTAATAATTTAATGTCATAATAGACCATATGATTTTTAACTTTTGAGTTTTTGTTCTGCATATTTGTCAGTAAAAATAAGAATCAAACTTTAAGTATTTTTAATTCAATCAATGGCAATGTTGAGATATGTTTGAATTTTGATTAGAAAAAAATTAAAGATTTTAATTATTAAAAATATCAATGTTAATATGTTATTGAAATTTTGAATGTAGTTTTTGCAACTTGTATTTTTAAAGTAAGTTTTATAAATTTTTTAGAAAATAATAGATAGAGATTTTGAAAATTAATATAAATAATATTTTATTCTTTATAAAACAACATTGTGCATTAAAATTATGATATTAGAATTGTGATGATTAAATGCACATACTATATATAACAAATTTTAGAATAAAATATATAAAATTAATAATAAATTATCATTATTAAAATAAAATTTCATATTTATATATGTTTTTAGGATTTATGATATAAAATAATTTTATTTCTAGTAAATTATATAAATATTTTTTTTAAAAATATTCAAAAAAGATTAAATACTAATAATATAAACTTAACACATATGTTTTGAATCTTTCACTAAAATTATCATTTTTTTTTATATATATTATAGTTCCATTGAAGCTTCAACTCATAGATCTTATCAAACATCTCCTTAATTTATAACTTTGCAATTGCAATTTGCGACCTATCAAGTGTAATTTGAAACCTCTTTAATTCCTCAATTCTAAGTTCCAAAAATCTTTCTATATCAATACCACTATCCCAAAATAAGACATACACATAAATATCATAAATTCATTATCAATTCCATCATCCCAAGATTATATTTATAAATAAATAATTCATTCAATTTGGCTCCACAAACCAGCAATATTGCTTCACCCGCCGATTTTCGTTCGTCGACGAAGTGTACAGTTGGCATCGTTCACGACAAGACGCATCCTCGTCCGATGAGCTTCGTTCGTTCGCTCGTTCGTTCGTCCGACGAAGCCATCCAAGAGTGTTGTCCCGGTCGGCGTCGGCGGGCGGAGGTTCCGTTGGCGGTGATAGAATTCCAATCAAGCTGCCAAGTCGCTACGGAATCGTGACTCGATCATCAGAAGTGCTCGTTGAATTCGACGTTGAGGGGGAGAAATTGAGCTGCGGATCCTGTATGGTTGCGGAATTGGTAGCAGGGTTTTGCCGATGGAGTGGGATTCCGTGCGCTACTTGATGGGCTCCTCCTCCTACTCGTGGGTGAATCAAAGTGATGCACCGCGCCTGCGTGAGGAATCAGCACCTTGCTTCGCGTACATTTGAGACGCTCTTGCCACGTTTTGACTGCATGCAGCTGGGAATATGAGTCTCTTCTATTAGCGGGAAGAGTTAGGGTTCATGGGGTTGGAGTTGCGTGTGGTGAGGTGGTGCGCACTGGCTAATTGGCTGGAAGCCGATCATAAGCAGCCTTTGATAGATGCGAGTAGTAGGGGAACTGGTTTGCGGGAGGCGACACATTGACTTGCCCATCCTTTGATGTCGTGGCGAAGGGTCGGAATTTGATGTGGGTCTCTGTGGATTCGCGACGTCTGTGACCATCACAAGGTCGGTTGAAGACTTTGACTGAGTGTGGCTTCCACGTTTATCTGAAGTCGCGGAGTTGCGAGATGTTTACAACCTCTCTTGTCTTGCTGTAGCATTCGGAATACGATATTCATGTTGGGGATTTCACGAAGTTGTGAGAATTATGACTTGTTTACCTCATCGCATCGCTTGCAAGCTGTAACAGTGGGATTTCCAGAAAGGTTATTGATAACGTCGTTTCTATTGAGGCAGTCCGTGCAGTGTACCGCACGTCAAAGATATGGTTAATTTTATCTGGAATTCTAAGTCGAAATTGTAAGAATGTTGTTAGAAAAAAGGGTTTTGTTGCACGTCTCCTATGCGTATCAGGAGACACGTATATTCCAAAAATCAGCTCCATGCTGCGATGCTTAGTTTGTTAATGAGTTTTAAGTAGTAAGCTCGTCACATTTTCCGTGCGAAGAAGCACACAAATCAATTGCAATAAGATTGTTCTTACATAGATCTCTGGGTAAACGTGAATTTGTTGGCTCAACACCTTAGTTTGTTCGGCCTGGGTTCGGGATGATGATATTGCCGAGAATTATGAATTGGCGTGTTGGATTCAGTGAATTGGGATAGTGCTTCATGGGTTGGTAGAGTTGTGTCGTCTTTTTTAGTTTCGATATGGGGGTTAGGAAATCTGATGACTAATAAATAATATTCAAGGAGTGGGACTTGGAGTTTGATCACGATTGGTTTTTGGCAACACAGTGCAGGTTAGGATTTCCGAAGTAGGCGACCGTAATTGTCTGGCACCTCCAATATTTTGGTGTGGTGAGTTTTCGTGATGACTTGTTGCTGTAGCTGGCTGTCGATTTTGGATTGACAACCAACGCGAGTTCTGTGAATTGGTGTTCTGAAGCTCTGAATTGATCCTTGCGTCATTGTTAGGCCTTGACCTTGCCCTCTACTTCATCTTATTTTGATTTCCTAGTTGAAAAAAATAGTAACGAGAACACCTCCGCGTCGATTACTGTTCTAGTCAAACATATTGGACATTTCTCTTGCTAAGTTGCAAACAATTTTTATTATCGCAATAATCCATGTGATGATTTAACCGTTCACCGAGTTTGGTGACTGAGTTCAGCTTGTTTGGTAGGGGTTTTGGATCAGTTGTCATCTAGAAGCAATAGTGTGTTCCTTAATTCTTGAGCTGATGACTCCATCTCCTCTGAGCATTAGTGCTTAGTGTCAGAACCTGAATTATTTAATCGTAAGACACGGAAGGCAACAGGTGCTAGCAGATCTTCTTTTTCAAAAATTTGTTAATTTTTCCATCCCCTGTTCAATTATTCTTTTGGGATGGATTCCTCTGTTGTAAGTCGTTTATGGAATTATTTGATGTAAACCAACTGAATGAAAACTTTCTGTTGTCAGGTGACCATGGCCGTGTTAACCAGAGGAAAGAGTTTTCTAGACTCTCTGATTACAGGGGACACCACTTTAAAGAACATCTTTAGTAGCAAATCCGGCGTGGGTGATACTCCTCACGAACATGAGTGCTCACCGTCGGACACTCGAAAATGGATAAAAGAGCTATCTGCACTTGCTAATGTTGTGGTTGGACATTGTGCGAGGTAGGAGTTATCTTTCCTTTCCTTTCATTTCCTTCGTTTTTTTATTTTTATTTTTATTTTTTTTTGCAGAGAGAGTACATAAATATCATTGGGTTTGCTGAGATTTTTTTGTTCACATTGCAAATTGCCGTTGCTATCACAGTTATGCGCTTTATTTTGAGTTGTTAGGATACGAAGTATGTAACATTACAGTATGATGTGTTCATGGTCTTGTTTATTAGGATATTACTTCTTCATCCAGAGGAGCTGCAGAGGCATTTCGAAGAGGAGGCCCCTGCATCAGCAAAAGATCCTTCAAAATATGCGCTCCATCTTCTTGAATACAGCTGTTTTAGAGCCCTTTCTGTGCAAGCTCAAGTCACTGATCATTTGAGCGACAAAGAATTTCGACGATTGACTTTTGATATGATGCTCGCTTGGGAGACTCCAGGGGCAGCGGACAAGCCTGTTTTGAAGGTACAGGTTCTGTTTCATTCAAGTATGTCGAGATATATGTTTTGGATCTCATCTAACAAAATTTTACTTCAGAAGTATTTGAGGTGTAGCTATGCTGCTAACAGAGCCAATTTCTCGTCATATGGAAATTGATAGTCTTCATTGGTTCCGAAAAATTGGCGATGATTTGATGCAAGGAACCATGTGCTAAGAATCATATTGTACCCCTAAATGTAGATGCGGTATTTATGGATTTTCTACTGCTAGAAGTAAATTCATATTTAGTACTGAAGCTTGGTAATGGCAAGGGGATGGAAGCCATTTGAGATTGTTTCATCTGTATAACTTCACGTCTGAATTAAACCTGTCCCCATCCCATTGTGTTTCCGTTGCATGACAGTGTGAACCTGAGACATCGACTAAGGAGTCTCGTTCGGAGGATGAGGAGGATTCGGCACTATTCTATTCTGACTTGATGTCTCTGATGGTCCAAATGCTCTTCCAGACCCGCATTAAGCCTGTTACCGTTTCGTTTGAGAAAGGATAGTAACAGTAGGGCTGTCGCCAACGCTTCGTAAGTTCTCTCGTTTTAAGATATACCGATTATAAGCTTGTTATTTAATAGTGCAATGATACATGCAGGTTGACGTGGAGAGTACTGTCGGACTTAATGCTTTTGCACGGATAGCGCCGGCCCTTCATACCGTTGCAGATTCAATAACTGTGCACAGCCAGTTTGATGCTCTTACTGCGAACACTGGAGGCCGGCTACCTTTCCCCATATTTGATAAATATGTTGCTGAGCTGGACAAGTATTTCCCATATAAATCTCTTCAATGCGTTTTTTTTTCTTATCTTATGAGTATGACTAGATGTTTCATCAACAGTGGAGTTGCTTTCAGAATCGAGGGATGTAATTAAACCTTGGAGTCACGATACTGCTTGTGTAGAGGCTTTTTCTTGGATTCTGTGATAGCAAAAGAAAAGGGTTGGCTTCTGTACTTGAGTTGATGTTCCAGTCTCTCGTAGAAATGATCTATTAGCTGTCCTAACACCAGAGTCAGAGGTGAATCCTATTCCAGATTTTTTGGGGATATCTCACGTCTTTACGTCGTTAAAGATAAGGAGTTGACCAGGAAATTCTGTATTTGTAATCTTACACACAGATCAATTAAGGCTATGAAGAACCAGGCAACTCCGGCTCTGGTCAAGGCATTGCAATTGGGAAAGAATGAGAAACTGATTGATACAGATGGGACCGCCACAACTCAGCCTGTCCTCCAGCACGTTGGTGTATCCACCTGGCCAGGTATGGTTATCGGCTTTAATATCTGCTGGTGCAAGTGCTTTTAGCTATTTTTTCACTAGTACGCATAATGTATGCTATTGTTAACAGTTTTATTTTCCTTCCTTTAGAATCTTGATTGTTGCGTTTTTGACTCTTTTACTTTGCAGGAAGATTGACCTTAACGGATCATGCAATCTACTTTGAAGCCACTGGGGTTGTGTCTTATGACAAGCCCAAGAAATTTGATCTTTCGGCGGATTTAAAGCACATTGTGAAGCCAGTTTTGACTGGACCATGGGGTGCCCGCCTTTTTGACAAGGCTGTTATGTATAAATCAAGCGCCTTGTAAGTAATGCATGACTTATGACCCACATCCAGTACCTTTCAACTGTGGCGTCTTCATCGTATAGAATGTGTATTTTTTATTTGCACTAATTACACACTTCAGAGAACAGCAAAAGTTTTCATATCGCTTTATTCACACCCCAGAAGATGTATCAGATAAGGCCCTATTCCGCACATTAAGACAATCTCTGTAAGAACCTGAATCTACTGACCTTAACATTTTTTGGTTGGTTTGGTGCAGGGTGGACCCTGTCGTGTTGGAGTTTCCAGAGCTAAAGGGGCGTTCACGCCGTGACTATTGGTTGGCGATTATTCGGGAAGTAATGTTAGTCCACCAATTCATCCGCACTTATCAACTTGAGGGTGTAGGCAAAGCAGAAGCTTTAGCAAAAGCGGTATTGGGGATCGCTAGGTTGAGAGCTACAAAGGAGACGTTTCACGTCCTGCCACCAAGACCTGAGAGTTTGCTCACGTATTCATTAGGAGCAGAGATGCCCGGTGGAGATTTTATCTTGGCAGAACTGGCCAACTCGCTTTGTAGCTCGGGTCGTGGGGAAGGACAAGCGAGTGTAGTAAGTGTTTTGGACAAGTACCAGGATAATAAGATACATGCCATCTCAGCTGCAGCTATTGGGGATAACTTCCGTCTCTTGACTCCTAAGGGGGCTGAAAAGATAAAAGAAGCACCCGTATCTGTCGGAGAGATTCTTATTGGTGAAACCACGCCTTTGGAGAAGGCAATTTTACAGTCACGGGATAATAATAAGAAAGTACTAGAGGCGCAGGCTACTATAGAGGGAGTAAAAGTTGATGGTATTGGCACAAATTCGGCTGTTCTGCAGGTAGGTTCACCAAGAATAAGTTGTTCATATTTTACGTTTTGGAAAAGAACTTGATGAGCACCGCAATTGAAGCATCGGGTTTATGGTTAATGTAGCTCGTTGTTTGGTTTTAGGAGCTGGTGATTCCGCTGACAGCTGTGATGACCTGGCTTCAAAGTATCTATCTTTGGGAGGAGCCTCTTAAATCGATCACATTCTGTGTTATTGGATGCTACATTATATTCAAGTGAGTATCAGGAGCATCCAACTTTCAGAATCACCTCTATATATGAAACATAGAAACTTTTGTCAAAAGCTAATGATGCTGCTTTTTGGGTCGGTGATCTTTGTTAAATGACAGATGTAATGTATTTACCTGTACATTCGAGTTCCCGAATTTCCACTTTTAATCATTCGGATTTTTGATTTTGTGAAACAGTGGTTGGGTAGCCTACTGGTTGCCACTGTCTCTGTTATTGATGGCTGCCTACATGGCGTATGTTCGGAGAATGCGAGATGAAGCGCCAATCAAAGAAGTTTTGGTTCCGTCTCCCCCCAATCAGAGCACGGTTGAGCAGCTTATAGCCCTTCAACAAGCATTGACACAGTTGGAGGCATTGATTCAGGCTGGCAACATATTTCTTCTCAAGACACGTGCTTTGGTTTTGTCAGCCCTTCCCGAGGTCTCTTTTTCTGGCTCTTTTCCTCTTGTTTAAATAACTTTAGAGAAGGCTTCATTATTTTGAAATACAACGAATAAATGCAGTATTTTTACTTCAAGTTTTGATCTTACAGGATTTGGCTGTGTTTATGCAGGCCACAAACCAGGTCATAGCAATCCTTGTTGGAGTGGCGGCTGTCTTGCTCATCTTTCCAACTCGCTGGTTGATTCTAGCTACCTTCGTGAACGTATTTACTTTAGAAATGCCTACGAGGGCTGAATCTACGCGTCGGTTTACTCGCCGAATCAATGAATGGTGGTATAGCATACCTGTTGTTCCAGTCCGGTTTCTCAAACCTGAGTCAGACAATGGCAGTAAATAAGTAAGTGCGGGTGCCACTTTCTAGTCTAGCATGTGCATATATTCGTGTAAAACAGAGAGACCCAGATGGATTTAGTTTTCGTAGCATACTTCTGAATGGTAATTAACGTTTCGATTGTATATTATATGTGAGGAGTTTCTAGAGGTCATGGTAAGTACATTCAGGATAAGCAAAAGCTATTCAGATATCGACTCCTGAATTATACCTGATCATTTTTCTTACGAAAGGCTGAAGCATGTAAAGAAAGTTGAGCATGAAACCTACTGGACGAATAGCAATCCAATTGCGTAATATAAGCTTTTTATAGTGATGCTTGAGTTCCATCTCCGGTGAATATTAAGTGCACGTTTTTCTTTTCAAGATATCCACGAGAGCAAATTGAATTCAGAGTTTACCGAAGCTTTTATGCTCCAGCAAAAATTTATTTTTTCACTTGAGCACCACTGATTTTTCTGTAGTTACTGCCTGTGTTTTTTGAGCATTTAATCCCAGCTTGACTGTTTTTGAAATCTGTTTCTCACCGAATCATGTGTAAATCGTGAACTATTGTGTCCAACCTGCCTCTGATACAGAAGAGCGAAGGAAACGGAGTGCGGTGCAATGGTGCGCCTAGTAGGTCACGGACTATCCTAGTGTTTGTATCAACTTGAGCTCCAGGCCACAACCATCTTAGTCTGAAGTCAGTTGTTTCGCAGTGTTGATTGTGGGTGTATAGGACTCATTCCGGAGTAGGAATGGAGATCGTTTAGTAAGCGGGATAATTAAACCAGGTGAGGATTTGATTAGGGTCGTTTAAGGGTTTTCAGTAGGGTAGCAAGCATGTCAACATATACAGACAGGATCCGTTTATGTCAAAACAAGAATGCAAGTTTTGTTAAACGCTGCTGAATGATGTTCAGGAGAAGCAAAGGCACAATGTTGAGTAGTTTATAAGTTCTTTAGAGTTGCTTTACAACATGGAGATTTAATTCAAGTGAAGATTTAAAACTATCCTTCCAAGTTACCAATTTTACAACCAAATAATAAAAATAAGAAAAAATATTTATAAATTATAGTAATTCCTTTAATTTTCTTGGAAACAAAGCACTAAACAAATATTTTTAATAACACAATTTTCTTTAAATTCATACAAAATTATTTAATGAACAAAAGAAATGTTGGTTTAGAATAGCATTCAAGATTCAAGATTAGAAGTATAAGCCAAGAATGTAAAAAGAAGCTTCTATAAGAATATAATAGAGAATCAAATCCTAATAATAAATATTAAATGGTTTAATGCAATATTAAAAAGATATAATGACAAACCTAATAAGTTTGAAATTGACTTGCAAATAAAAAATCCAAATCTTATTTTCACTCAAAGCATTTTTTTCTCTTTTTACTTCTGTCTTCTTCTCCCTGCCTTCCCTCCCTCCTTTCCTATTGTAAAAAGATCTTAATTACAAGCACAATTATGTACTTAAGCCCTAATTAATTCTTTGATAAGAACATTTAAAAAAAAAAAAAAAATGTTCCAGTATTTAAAGCAATGTCAATCATGTAAATTTATAAAGATGTGATATTGTTGCTCCAAATAAAAGGTACAAAAACAACTTCACAAGAATATCCATTAATATTCAATGTAGTGGAAAAAATTCAAAAATTCAAAACAAATATGGATTAAGTCATTAGCCACTTTCTTTAAAATTTTATAAGCAATTAAGAAACTTAAGTGCATTTTCAAATTGCAATTGAATTCTTAGTTATCAAAGACATGATTTTAGACAAAATTCAAAAGTCAATATACTTATCATTGAAAAAGAGAGAAAGTAAGAAAAGAAAAGATCATCATAAAATAGAAAAGAAGTAGAATGGCTATTGTCAAAATACAAAGAAATTAGAGAGTCTTGAATCAAGACTAGAATATAAAAAAGAACATGAATAAGAGTGAAGATGGCTTTAATTTTATCCCTATATATACTAACTACTAAAAAAGACTCGTAAAAACTTCCTAAAGACCACAAGACTTATGGCTCAAGCATCAAGTTATTAAGTCATATACTTGTATAGCATACTTACATCCTTTATTATATTATTGGTCAAAACTTAGATAAAATCTAAATCTCTTCTTTTTTAGAAGTATTATCAATCAAAGATTGATTATTTTACAACTGTAGTATTTTTTTACTTAAATCTATTGTTAGTATAACCTATGCTACTATAGCCTATGCTTGTGTTAGGTCTAATGTCAAATATTAGCTATGCATAGAAAGTCTTGAAGCTACAATTTAGATTAAATTAAAATGATTCATCTTTATTATAAATATAGTCAAACTTCTTTTTGCACAAATGCAAAAAAAAATATTTTTTATAACTTTTTTTTTATAATCCAACAACCTTTGAAATACTTTGTATTTATGGTTGTAAAGCTATTCTTCAAATTCCTATCATACATGTTGTCCAATTACTTTCATGCGGCAAGTAGTTCATTGGTCCTTGTAAGCAACAATAGTGTCTTACGCCTTTGATTTCCGACCAAGTATGAACTTCTGTGTCTTCATTGTGAAAATGCCCCGCAAACACTCTTTCAAGAAGATCATCGTAGGTAGGTTCTACCTCAAACACAATCACTAGCGACCTGTTACTAGGTATCCTCCGTCGTCTTCGTGGTACAAGCGGTTCTTCATCTCAGGGTCGTCTTCGTGAGATACTCGGTTGAGAAGACATGAATGGTATGGTATCTATCTCTTGGCTATCCATATCAGACCGAAAACATGGAATAATGGACTCAAGTTACAGATTTATAGTCTCTAACTATATCTTTTAGAGGTTCCTTCTCCCCCTTCTTTGTAAGCCCGAGGATTAAGAAACTTCAAAGAGAAGGAACTTCACTGAAAAAATTTCATCAAAAGGGCTTAGGTTTTTGAAGATAGCGTCGATGAAACTCCTATACCTTTTGCGACGTATTAATAAGATTTTTTGATGGTTCCCATGTTCGCTCATTAGTATCATAGCGACTCCAATGCACTAGGTACTTCAATTTCTTCCACTTATGTCGCAAATCTAGTACCTTTTTCACCTCGTATTCCTTGTGGTTCTCAATTTCAATACTAGGTGGCAAACATTGCACTCTTCCATAAAAAAAAAGACAAATCTCGATAAGGCTCCAACAAAGAAACATGAAAGACGGGGTGTACCTTCATAGCAACCGATAATCCCAGACGATATGCCACTAGATTGATTTGTTTCTGGATGACAAATCGTCCCAATCTTTGGTAGTCCAACTTATCACATGGCCGCTTGGTTTTGATATTCTATCAAAGCAGCGATACTTTATCTCTAATTTTGAAAGTAGGTGCCTGATTTCGAAATTTATCTGTGAATGCCTTGTAAGCTTCTTGGGTGGTTTGCAATTGAAGCTTCAACGTAGTTTGAAGCTTCCATAGTTGTTTCACAAATCTTTTTGCTGTCTTGTTGTTATTAGTTGACAAACTCAACAAATCAAGCTTCGGATGATACTCATACTTAGAAAAGAATGGTGTTTGTTGAGTCGATGCATGAAGGGTGTTGTTATATGCAAATTTAGCTAATGATAGATATGCAGTCCAATCATCTTGCTGATAGTTGATGCTTCATCGTAAATACTACTCCAAAGTTTGATTCATCCGTTTCGTTTGGCTATCAATTTGAGGATGAAAAGCCGAAGAAAGCTTCATATCCACCTTCAATATCTCAAAGAAAGATTTCTAGAACTTTGATACGAATTAGGTTCCTCGATCCGACATAATATCATTTGGTAAACCATGATATCGATACACATTATCAAGAAAGAGCCTTGTTGTGTCTTTGCTTGACGATGTTTTTTTGCAAAGGACAAAGTGTGCCATCTTTGTAAGCCGATCTACCATAACAAAGATATTTTCAAATAAATTTGATGGCGGCAAGTTCGTAATAAAGTCCATAGAAACTGAAGACCATGGTCGACGTGGAATAGGGAATGGCTGAAGAAGACCATAAGGACGATGTCGAGGATTCTTAGATCTTGAACAAATGTCACAGGAGAGGACAAAATCCTTGACAACCTTCCACATTTGGAACCACCAAAAATCTCGAGAAATAAGTTTGAAGGACTTATTGAATCAAAAATATTGTACAGTTAGAAAGTTATGTTGAGATTGGAGAACTCGGAGTCGTGCTGCTTCTTTTGGGATACACAACTGCTCTTCAAAGTATAAAAGTTCTCCTTCCACCTTGAACTTCTCATTATTGAGACGTTGCGTGATATCAAGGGCTATAAAATCTCCAATAGTTACAATACGTACATAGTTGAGGAAGTCAGCAACAATTGGCACTATAGCAGAATAAAGCCTGAATCATTCCGACTTCAATAATGTTGTACACTGTTGATCAAACGCTGCTTCTTTGACCTTTAGTACTAGATACGATCTCTTTGATAATGCATTACATAGTCCTTGTTGCTTCCCAAGTCGATAAGTAATAACAAAGTCAAACCTTGATAGCAACATATTCTATCGAGCATGATGACGATTCAGAACCCGAGCCGACATGAAGTACTCTAAATTCTTGTGATCCATGTATACGGTCATTGGATGCGCAGCTCCTTTGAGAAAGTGACGCCACTCTTGTAAAGAATCTACTATTGTAAGAAGTTCTTTATCATGGATCTTATTGTTGATCTCAGCAGCAAAAAACTTTGAGAGTAGAACGCAACTAGATGAAGCTTCTTGTCTGTGCATATTTGCAAAAGTATAGCTTCCATAGTAAAATCTGAAGCATCAGTCTCCAAATAGAAGGCCTTTGTAAAGTCTAGATGTATCAAGATTGGAGCCATAATAAATGTCATCTTAAGATCTTGAAATACTTTTTTTGTTAGAGGTATCGAGGACAAGAATATAATAAAGATAAATAAACAAGTAAGACTTCTTTCAAAGAAAGATGACAAAATAGAAATAACTTGATATGTATATTAAAAAAGAAACTGGAATGGCTATTGCCAAAAGACAAGAAAACTAGAGACCCTTGAAACTAGACTAGAAGCAAGAAAGGAGTTGACAAGAGTGAAGAGGACTTCACTCTTGTCTCTATATATACTATCTAACTAGGGGCTATGTGGCGACGTTCTATAGGACGTCTAATATGTGTTGACTTTGTAGGATACATGCCTTGACTTACAAGGTAAGTTTTTTTATGTGTGGGCCACATAGTTAGCTTGGTCTTCAAGCTAACAACATGTGTGGCACATGGCCAACTTGTTGACCACGTTTCTAATCCAAAAAGTCAATTAAAGACACCTATAAAGTCAAAGTAGCATCTATGAAGCTTCTAAGAAGCTTT